GTGGCTGAGGCGGTGCGTAAATTAATCGTCGTGCGTTTATTAATACTAATGCGTTTCGCAAACAATGGGTGTGCACGCATCGCGACAGCGGCAAGTATTTTGGGCATACGCGTGCTGCGCATACTTTTCGCTAGTTTTGCTAATTAGGTAAATTTGCGGAGCATTCACGCGTACGATTTATTTATTAATTGAGTAGGCAAACATTAGGTGTGCGTTCAAAACTGTGCTTTATGTTTATTTTATATGAGTATTATAACTTACTTATTAAGTGTAAAGATTTTGGTTTTATGCAAGGAGTTTTTTAGTAAAAATTTTAATATTTTGGAATTAAATGCAAAATTTTAAGTTTTATTGAATAGTTAATAATTTATTGTTATTAATATATTTGAGAATAATTTTTTTTAACAATTTTTGAGGACAAAATCAAAACTATTCAAAAATTAAACAAATTTCTTGAGATTTTTAACGAAAAACTCTTTATAACAGCGAAATATGTACATCTTCATTGGTTTATATTAATTTCCTTGTTATAGCGTTACAGTTTCTCAGTATAACAACGAAAAATATTTTAATTTTTAACAATTATGAGCTAGAATATTTTTTTCAAAAACATGACATCGATGGTAACATTTGAAATATTGTTGTAATTATGATCCCAACATTCCTACAAATTGCAATGCAAATTTCTATAACTTAAGCACGATTTTTCATCAAATTTTTGGGGGTGCACGTTGCGTTACAACAAAATCATTTAAACATAACACAAGTGAATACAACTGAGCGACGCGGAATTCATATTTAGACTTCAGGAAATATTTACCGGCATTTTTACAAGCGTAATTGAGTTTAAAATCAGTTTACAAATAATTAGACAGATACATACACCATTAAAAAATGTAATTGCATAAAAACATAAGTTTTTAATTTATTTTTTGAGTAAATATTCTGTGAATTTAAAATTTACAAAGTTTTTTTAATATAATTTTCAATAAAATAAAATATACTATACAATTACTGGTGATGATTTGTGCAAATGTTTAGTTTTAATGCTCAAATAAAATTACCGGCTTGCGCAATAATTCGCACCGCAATAAATTCGCAATTTTTGACACCGTACGCAAATATTTCAAATACGTATAGAAAGTGCGTCGGCTCGCTCTTTGTGCGTTATAATAGCGCAACATTACTAATTTCATTTTTTGCGCTTGCATTGTTCACTTCTGTCCTCGAAAGACTCACCCAAAAAAAGTTTCTATTTGAAGGTTACAACTTAAATCCTTTAAACTTTAAAAAATTTAAAAATTTAAATATCTGTAGAATATTAAATAGATTAGAATAAAAAATTTAAATAAAACGTCTTCCCGATTAAAAATGCGTCAGCGATACATGCGCCGCTTAAAATAAATCATTGCCGAAGAAAAAATTGTGCGTGAATTGCTAATGATTGAATATAATGAAGTGTGTGGTTGGTTGCGCGCAGCATCATTGCGTAATTTGCATATTACGACTGCTTTAAATTAGCATATTTATTGCGACCTTTAAGATACGCAACCGGCGAATGAAAACTCCTTTTTTACAAATTTACGATGGCAATCTGTAGGCAATACGTTCGTCTAATAGGTTACGCACTTTACAACGCGCCGACCGGCCAATGCCCAAGCAGCTCAGACGCATTCGAAAAAAAAATGCGGAAATGTTTCGGTGCGTTTTTTTTACGCGCATTTTTATTGCCATTGGTTTTTGTGCGGCCATAACGCCGATGGAGATTGTATCGTTACCAGGTGCGTGCGCGTAAATCTGTCTTGCGGGCTGGGACCGGTTCGCGGTGCGTAAATTAGGCGGCGAATTTTTTTCCTCTCCCGACCGAGGCGCGGGCATCGAAATAATCGCTAATAGATAACTGCGTGTCACAATCATGGCGCATGAGGTTGCGGAATCATTCAAGGTTAGAATGGCGCAACGTCCAGTTCCTGCTAGTGTAAAATCAAAATCAAAAAAAAAAAAATTCTTTCTTTCCACGTGTACAAGATGCACTCGAGTGTGTTCTGTTGTGCACTTTCTTATAAATAAATAATGTTACACATTTCCACGATGATTACCATTAGCGCTGCAGTACTGTTAGCGCGTTCACTTGAATGGAACACGTCTAACGGCATTTAATGCGCGCTGAAGAGCCGGATGGACGGACGCACAGTGTGCGTACACACGCTCACCTGCAGCCGTGGTGCACATGCGGATGGGAAACGGCCAACCGAGCGTGCAGCAATCACGATGAAGAAGCGAGAAGCTCCGGAGCATTAGAATTCTCGGCTGCCTTTTGAATCAGCGTGAATCGTCATGATGTGTTTCCTTGATGCGCATATTACGATGCTTTTTATGCATCCCATTACGGGTAACGCACTCCTGCTAATGACCGCGCGCCAGCAGAACAGATGGAAGACATCTTTGTTCTGAAATAAAAGAAATATTGCGTGATTTTGAACTGTGCGCGCTGAGAATGACGTTTCTCACCGGATGCGATACTAGCGACACTTAGGAAATGTGTATTGTGGGTTGCATACATTATAATTTTCTTTTTCTTTGTTTTGAATTTCTTTGCGTGCATGCGAATGCATTATAATTATAACAGAGAATTTAATTTGGCGAAATTAGTTTTCGGCACGTCGCCGTCGTTTGTGTGTAGTTTGTAAAACGAGCTTTATGATGGGTGACTCCTGCGGGAGTTGGCGCGCCGTGTTGCCACTGAGGGGAATACCGAAAACTCGCATTTCCACTTTCTTGCATTAGCAAACTACACTACGCCTAACCACCGTCGTCATCACCACCCTCGGCTCGGCGCGGTGTAAACCTTGTTTCTTGAGGATATCTGTTGCGTTATTCGCTTCGTGTCTAGCGATATTTCGTGGTGTCACGCATTCAACGCGCCGAAAACCCAGAAGCTTCAACTTCAAGCTCAGGTGCGCAACGCCAAAGCTGCGTTTAATCACAAACCGAGGTGTTTCGCATCAGCGACGCACTTGCCGCCGATGAAACAATGAAAAATGTGCGTAACGACAGGCGCTCACGATGACGAGCACACCGAAAACGCACTTCGCACGCGCGATAAAGTGAAGCCAAGAAAAACAGCGTAATAAAAGAGCAATCCGTGTGCCGAGTTCAAGGCTGCCGTGGTCATTGATGCGTCAATTTGAATTTCGTTTTGGGCAGCGCAATAAAAATGAAGCAACAAAGAAATGTGCGTGGACGAATATTAAAATATTCGCATATTTATCTCATAGGTACATTTTCATCATTGTGGGGACATAAAGTAACAGGACAATAATGAAATATTGCGGGATTTAAACTGTGCGGTGAAAATGACATATCTAACAGGAAGCGACACTAGCGACATCTGGTAAACTTGTATTTTGGGTTGCATACAATGTTTTATCAATACTTTAAAAGAAAATTTAGTTTTTTATAAGTTTTACTAGCTTTAACCCGCGGCTTCGCTCGCGAATATCTAAAATAATGAAGTTGCTTCCGTACGCGTCTGTAGTCACAGAAGAAGTAACAATGTAGTAGAATGGCGGGAAGTTTAAAATGGCTGAAAGTATAGTCTATGGAAGTATAGTGTACAGTCTCCATAGTGTAGTCAATTGGATTTGATGTTGACGTAGCTGTCGGTAATACAGTGTGATAATACAGTGTGATGGTACTATAGTACTTAGGTTTGAGCTTCATCGCTGGAATGCTAGATGGCGTTAAAGTAGTCAAATAGCAAGATGCAGAGGTATTATTGGCTAAACAATTTCTTTATTTTATTTAAAAAATAATTTTTTTTATTAAATAAAAAGTAGCCTATAACCATTCGGGGACCACTAAGAATATGTGTACAAATTTTCATGATGATCGGTTAAGTAGTTTTTGCGTGAAAGTGTAACAAACATCAGGACTTTCGCATTTATAATATTAGTAGGGATTATTAAAATTCATAGTTTTTCATTCTTACTATGTAATTTACAATGTTAACACACGAAGTTTACCTTTTTGAGTGTAAAATTTATGCATTGTGTTGACATTCAGTGATTACCATTAAATGTGTACAATATACACCTGCGTAGCATTGTAAAAAGTGCGTAATGCCAACAGGACGTTGAATTTGTTAAATTTCGCAGCAATCGATGCGTTGCCACCTTGGTGCGTTTCTTGTCGGTGTTTTCATGGCCACAGGAACTGGCGTCATTCACGCACATAGTATTTCAACGCACCGCATTCAATGCATATTTCAAATTAAAAATTCGTCTTGCCTTTACTTTACTTTACTCCGCAAGATCCGAATCTGTGCTTGCTTGGTTTTACAACTTTGAATTTTGGTAGCGCTTTAACTGACGACTAATTAAAATTAATTGCGTGCGTGTGTGTGCACTTTACTTCGCATTGTTAACGAATTAATGCCGCTCATTATTTGTATTAGCAGCGTCGTGGCAACAATAACCAAATTATAATATTCATAGCGTCATCGAATAGAAAACATTATTTGCTCTAGTAGGCCGAACGAAACATTGTTTTTACTTTTTTACTGTGTGTGCGGCGCGATGCGAATGCAATAATGTGAACGCGAGCATGGATAATTATTTCTTATGAATTCAGTCACGCCACCTTCGAGAGATGTGCTTGTCGTCGTCGTCGTCCGCGTTCCTCTCGCGGCGTCTACCATTGCGTAACGCATACACGCATCCGCGAATAACCTTGCGGTGCGGTTGTTTATTGCCTGGCCTTGCAAATACCCAAAATGCCAGTCGAATTTCAGGCTCCCCGCCTGCAGGTGACGATCACTTGAGGTCTTTCGCTTACGCAACGCACGCATATTTCTAATCAAATCCACCTTAATGTCTTTGTTCTCAACGCTGTTGCCTTCTTCGGTGACCGCGCACAAGGTCAACTTGAAACATTTCAATCTGAATCTTGAATTTGCAGTTCAGGATTTAATTTGAATTCTTGTTTTTTTGTTGTTGCAGCCAACAGTTTCATAAACGGGGGCATGGAGTCGGGCGCACAACAGTTCTGCTTAAAGTGGAACAGCTTTGGCAGCAATCTAGCGACGTCGTTCAGCAATTTGTTCAAGAGCGAAACGCTCGCGGACGTGACGCTGTTCTGCGATGGCGTCTCCTTCAGGGCTCACAAGCTTATCCTCGCCGCGTGCAGCAAACATCTCGCTGATCTCTTCGAGACGGCGCCGCTGCACCAGAACCTGCTCGTTATCCTTGATGGCACATCGGCGTCCAATATGGCGGCGCTGCTCGAATTCATGTACAAGGGCGAGGTGCACGTGTCGCAGGATTGCCTATCCAGTTTTCTTAAGGCGGCCGAATGTCTACAAGTATATATTTCATAAAATTTCATTAAAATTTTTAGATTTTAATTATTTTTAAATTCAAGGTCAAAGGATTAAGCATCGAACATGAAAAATTAGTAAGGAGTCAAATGGACACATTGGGTAACGGTGAAATGGAGTCACCCACAAGTCGATCATCAGGCAGTAGTGGTGGTAAACCGATTAAAATGGAAGCCGACATGCCACCGCAGAGTCCTTCATCGTACTCGCCGGCAATGTCACCGTACATGCACCACTATCGCACCGCCTATGACCGAAGGCCATTGCGCAGTCCGACGCTGCAGGATAGAGCTAGTGTTCTTCGTGATGGCAGTAAAGCAGGGCGGCCGCAATCGCCCAGTCCAATGTCACTCGCGTACCGTCCGGCCAGCCGCTCCTCGCTGCCCCAGCAGCCGGACGCCGACGCCGCCCTGCCTGACCGATTCAATGACAACGACCCGCAAGCCACCGCGCTGATATGCCCGCCCTCGGAGAACAGCAACGCCGATCATTTACACCGCGACCCCGGCTGCCCCGAGGACCTTCGCATGAAGATGGAACCACCCGCCACGCAGGACGAGCCGCTCAGCAGCACGGCGAACACGAACAACCAGGTGAACTCATCCGGCTTGTCGGCGAACGGCGGCTTGATGACCATGTACGACGCCGCCGACTCTAACAATCTGAGTAAAGATCGCGATCTTATTCCGACGACGCTCTGGAACTCCGTCACCAACAAACTGTCCAAAACAGGTGCCATCACGACCCCAGACGGTAAGAAATCAAAACATATTTTAATTTATATTTGATTATTTTTATATTTTTTAGGAAAGAAATTGAAGTGCCCTTTTTGCGAACGATTATACGGGTATGAGACGAATCTGCGAGCACACATACGACAACGGCATCAGGGAATACGAGTGCCGTGTCCATTTTGCACGCGCACGTTCACCCGCAACAACACCGTTCGCCGGCACATCGCGCGTGAACACAAAACCGAATTGAGTCTGAAAGCGTTCCAGCAGGTGCACAACCCGTAGTACGCCAGTGGTTTGCCTCCCCTCGACGCGCAGAAGGCGAACAGCGAGGAATCCTTACCAAAAACCAGACACGAGCACACAAGCCGACGCCGCGATCTCGGAGCTGGCCTCCGGACGTAGAAACTCTCTTAAGTTGACACCGAAATTAACAAAACCAATAACACAACCAACAACCAACAAGATGGTAAGTGTGTAGTCGTTCAATTCGACGACCTGTAAGGAATAACCAGCGTCTAGTTAAACGTGTGATGATCTGTTTTGATGATGAAGTTATTTCGAAGAAACGCCGCCGCATCTACCTCAGAAACAGTACAAATATTTTCTTAGATTTAAAGCGTACACGCGTAAATTAATTAAAATAATTTATATCTACATCTACACCTTGATTGGTGACACAGGAAAGAAAGCAACACGCAATAAAACGATGATGATGATTTTCTAGTGCAATAGGAGAGCGCATTCACGCATTGAATTGAAATCGAAAGAAACGAACGAATTAATCAACTTTCACTAGACGCGATAATTGTTATGTACTCGAACTCACAGCACACCCGATCCATGAGTGTACACACTTTTACACTTTATCCACACACACATATACACACGAAAATGCCAAAATTCAAAACGAGCCGTACTTAGCTGTACAACCACACTAGAAAATGAACAATAGACGTCGCTTCCATCGGACGCCGAATGGAAGAGAATTTGTTGCTAAAATGTGAAGATTTTATAGGTTTTAAGTGTTGTATAAAATTAATTTAGTTCTAAAGCAGGACGGTGCAAAAGATTGAAAAAAAAACAGGTTGTTTGTTGTTTATGTCTCGAGATCGTTCTTGAATGCAATGCAAAAATGAGAGAATTTAACTTTTTCTAACCAAGAAACACACAACAAACACACAACAGCTCTTAAACTGCCCTGAATGTTGTATTTTTAAGACGACTCTAAGCTAATCAATGAATTGCAAAGCAATAGTTGCGCCAACAACAACCAATCGAAACGAAACAAACCAAGAAAACTTTCTACCTCACAGTTTTAAGCCATAGATATTATTTAATGCGGCGTAACATGTAAATCTATTTACAAAGTATGTTGTTGCTAGTCATACATGTGAACAATAGACCAGTTAATTGCTCAAGGAAATAATTTAAGACATAGGTATTTATGTCTCTCGATACACATACGCATATTTTTACTTCTGTCGGAAGAAGAAACGAACACAAACGAGCTTTAATATAGATTTATTTCGGCACAACAACAACTTCCACGGTTGCAACTACAAACAAACACACAAACTCAGGGTTCTTTACAATATAATTCTAGATGATACAATATTATTTAACGCGTAAATCGATAGCAAAACAATCCAATAATCTACGAACTGCCGAATAATTCACTGCTACTGTATAGCTAAACAGCCTGGGAATGCGATGTGAGAAGTATGAATGTGTTTGTTACTTGTTTTCGTTAAATATTCATCCTAATCATAGGTGCATCGCAATGAGTTTGCTACGGGTATAATTTTATATAGATATTTATGTTTAAGATGCATTAATGTTACATTTGGGTTCGGTTTGTTGTGTATGAGACGAATGAATGATGAAATGTGGCATTCTCAGGCATCCAGAAAGTTTCTCTTTCACACTACTACCTCAAATATAGTAATATCTAATAAAAATAGTAATAAAACGCATTCTTGCTGGTAATAATCACTAATCACATTGAAATGAAACGGGTATATGTTGAATTAATCTCGCGTTGTTGAGGCATTCAGGGTTAATCATAGAGAAACGTTTAGTTTAAGAGAAATTAAATAATAATTGAAGCATAGTTAAAGAATATATATGATATATGTATATGATGTACGCGCTATTTTTATTTTTAGACGTTTTAGGAGTACATTACATAAGTTTCGTTCGTACGTTTAAGCTATATATTAATATTATTATTTTTTTTTTGTTGGGTTAGTTTATCTTTTACCACACAGAAATTTCTACGCCAAAAGTCCAATGTTTTTGTTTGACTCTAAACTTTTGCGTTACCAAGTAACGCATGATTATTTACTTGGAAAAGCTTTCACACCTGTACTACTTTGGCAAAAAGCTCTTCTTTCGCCGCCCCCCCTTGACGACTGCTGAATTCCCACCAGGTGAATCACATGCATCACAAAACACCCACACAACACGATACACTTTTTGTGATCAATCTATATTAAGATGAAGTATATAAATACAATTACGACCCCAATTATAAGAGTCCGAATTTGAGCGCAGCGCCACCGTTCGTTCGCATTAGGAACGAATCATATTTGTAATAACATTCTGAGTGTAACTTACTGATGTTAGTAATGTAAGGTGATGAAACGCCGGCGAGCTGTACGGTGTGATGTGTGTGGCATGGTGGAGGCGCTGAAATTTCTAGACATTTGATACAAAAGCGATAATATAAGTAGAGGACAAACACATTAAACGCGTATTTGAATAGTGGTAGGGTTCGTTCGGGCGCCTCCACCACGCGCGCGCCATCGCACGAGCATCGCTCGCATTTTTTGATAATTATCCTTGTTACCGGTGTATTTGCTTTAAATATAATGTGTAAAGTGTCCCCTCGGGAGAAGCGTGAACACATTGCAAGTTGGGGATTTTTGTAAACTAATTTTAAGGCATTGACATGTTGCGCACCCCGTTTGTCGGTTCAACGTTTCCATTGGCATCCATAGGCGTAAGTTTTCTAGTTAGCGATTTTCTAGTTAGGCACGAGAATAAGGAAGAATGTGATTGTATTATAAGCATGCAAGTTTGTATTACCGAATTGTGGTGGGAGGCGTGAAGCGAAAGGTGAAACATTGAACCGACAAGCGCCACGCAGATATTTCTCGATATCTCTGTGGTGACAGATTGTGATGTGTGTCGAACACGTTCTTTCTCTAAACAAATCTCTCTATATTAAATAAAATGTCTGTTTCACTGCACCGTCTCACATTCACTCACAAACTTAAAGCGTAAAAGAGATAAGAACACACACACACCACATACAAAAACACACACACGAAATATGTTTAATAAGTAAGCAAACAATGTACTGAATCGGTTCCAAAATTGTGTCCCAAAACGCCGCCACCCGTCCCCAAATGGCGTCTCTCTGTGTAGTTCGGACGCTGGGGGCCGGCGTTCAATTTTAAACATAAGTGAAAAACATGTAACACTTCTATGATATGTAATTCTATTGATAAGATTAATGTAAAACGTATTTCACGACGATTTTTAAGTTCGACTTGTACATTCACACACACACGCCACACGATAATAATCTATTGCAAAGCAAGATGCAACTCAGGTATTTTACGTTATCAGGGATTATCAGTTAACTAGTTATTTATTACGTGCTGCATTGTTCACATTGTATGATGTTACGGGTATTTCATCATTTTGTAAAGCAAGTAATATCTTCAGGTGCAAACCAAAGTAACAGTACAAATATGCATCTACCTCATTGAATCCTCAGCTCATCTAAATATAACAAAAATGAAGAACCTATTATACTTACTATGATTAATTAGTGAGTAGTGAAGAATACACGAAATATATTTATGGTTATTATGCCCAAGTACAAACATGAAATAATGAACTATTATGAAATGAAACACTATAAAATGTTAACTAAATGGAAAAACTCAGGAAATTCACGTTATAAACAAAAATGGTACAAACAATTTATTCATGTAATCACTATGTAAATATTGTCCACGCAGCAATCATTCAAATTTTCGCTTCTTTGTGGAGCTGAATGTTTGATTGTAAGATTGTTGCGGTGACAGTTTATCAGGGAATCTCTACATTTACTGTTCTACTAAAATGTTTATTCTATAATGGCGATTGCAGTGGAGGATTTGGAACCATTTGGGAATTGTGAGAATGAAGTTGTAAGCAAGAATCATATTTTTAATAATGGCAAAATTTCGCACCGGTAAACATTAACTTTGAATTTGTACTTAACGAAACGAATTTATCTATCAAGAAACTTAGATAAAAACATTTGGGGATGAAAATCACGAGGGAAGAGTCAATTGATTATTCAGTACAAGTACTATTAACGATATGATTTTTGTTCTCACCTAACCGAAATTGTAAACGAAGATGAAGGATTAATCAATGCGGTTTCCCGTCTTTGGCAAAGATGGCGTCGCCCTCCGCAGTCCATTTTTAAGGAGGCGTGAAAATTGTCTGTGTATACACTCCACACTGCGATGGTTGAGGAAAGGGGGGAAACCGTGCGTGCATTGTTTGTACCGCTGGCAAGAAAGCGAAGAGGAAACAAATTACATTACATGTTGTGCGAATGCATGTTGATAACACGTTTTAACAATGTATAATGTATTTTAACGATTCGGGTTGCTGAATGAGAGGACCCACTCTCGTTGAGGGAGTCTAAATTATCAACTATATGATGTACTATTATTACATTTAATTGTATATAAGCAACATATGATGTATTTCATGTTCTGTTTTTCCTTATTAATTTTAATAAACAATTTGACGTTTAAACTGAGCATTTAATGGCGCCCCAAAACCATCTGCGCAACTTCCTATGGAGTGTTTGAATTTTTGTGTACTTTGGGTTGCCTATAGTCAACTCCTAACTGCACAGAGTACACGTTAACCTTAAATAATTCAAAAATTGTTTCCAGAAAAGTTTATTAGTGATGGCTGAAGAACAATTGCCTATTCCAACTAAATCACGTCCTCGGGCGTGTAGCAATTCACAAATCTCAACGCAAGATAGTGTTTTGTTACAAGAGTTTGTGAAATTCTGCAGCGCCGTCCGCAACTGGATCAAAAGCAACAAAAACAATCGCAGATCAGATTACAACCAAGGTGCTCTTGCACGAATCAAGTGTGCATCGTTTTATAAACAAGAGCTAAACTGTTTCCGTGAGTTATTCAGATCACAAGGGTGTAGCTCTCGCCATTGATGAGGTGGGATGTCAGTGGACCTCTGCAGGGTTGCTGCTAACTTACCCCCAGTACTTGAAAGGACAATGCTGCTCTCGTTGATCAATACTTAGGATCAGAAATCATTCCAGCTATCAACGCTCTTTTGGACGCTATCCTCAACGGTGGTGATGGTCGCATGTTGGAAAATGATATCCAATCATTTAGCGATACTTGTCACTCAGAGCTTGATGTTTAAATATTTTCGTGTTAAGAAAATAAGTTGGCTGTTCTTTTGTTTTTTGTTTAAATAAAATCTGATTGCATATAAAGTATTTTACTATCATTTACAAGACATTTCCTGTTGAATTAATTAGAAAAAGTTTTGATTAATCTAGGGAATTATATATAAACCAAGGTCTCAAAAGTTCCATTATGCACTACATTGTTTTGTATCCGTACATCTAATCGTCAGGAGCCTAAGAAAAAGTTATCTTGTTTTGTTAATAATTAAAGTATTAAACAAAAATATGTTTGTTTTCTGATCACTTCTACATGCGTCATTAAAAATTATTATCTCATTAAAAGTAGTACACACGTTTAAAGTGCAAAACACTTGATTTAATCTATTTTATTTAATTTAACCGTAGGAAATCTGAATTTATTCAAAATTTGATCAATTTTTCTTGTCTGGTCAAACAAAGATGCACGTAATTTGGTTTCTCGCCCTCTGGGCCCCTATCATGGCTATTGAGGTTCAGAAAAACCGTAAGTCTTTCTATTTTTTTGAAATATTTACAAAGTGATAAATAAATAATTTCAATATCAGATTCCCCGACTCTGCTTCCTTTGCAAACTAAACAAGCAAGAATTTTGGAGGACAAACCCATCGCTTTCTTGCAATGTCTCCGTAATACCCTCAATAATGGTGATGAAGAAATCGGCATCCCCAGCTTCAACCCTCTTAAAATTAAAGACATTAACATTGATTTAAACTGCTGCTTGGAGGTTTCTGAGCATTAAAGGTCATACTTAATAATTCGAGACACTCCAATTGTCTGAGTATTGTTTTCCCAACAGGATGCTGCAACAATTCAAGATCAGAATAACCGTCTTCCCACCTGGTGCTAAGGCTGTTGTTAAAATGTCTTGGGCCGCTGTTAATGTTTCTGGTACATACGAAGCTGATCTGAATATCTTTGGTCACACCATAGTTGGTTCCGGTTCTATTTCTGGCGATCTCTCCAAATTGGACTTTGAATTGCACCTCAAATTGAGAGCCGGGCTTAATGGGACCATCGATACTAGTTCTGACCTCGATGTATCCTTGGGGTCTTCTGAGGTAAGTTAATCAAATTACCGAATATCTTCGTGACTCAAAACCCTGGAAAAACTTTTGCCTTAAAAGTGGAAATAGAAAAATAAATTTATTGATTTGGTGGTTTTGTTGATAGCTCCTCATTGAAAACTTGACCATTGATGGTCATGACGTCAGTGGACCTCTGCAACAGTTGGCTACTCGCTTTCCCAATTTCCTGCAGGCCTACGGCCATGCCGTTGATGGTCTTTTTGAAGTCTATATCGTTCCAGTTTTGCAAAAACTTCTAAATGGTAATGTGAGTTTACCCAAAATTGGTAAATGTGGTTTCAAAGAGTTTAAACATTTTCAATGAAAATAATTTGGTTATCCTTTTGTTTTTGTGTTTAAATAAAATCTAATTGCATTCAAACAATTTTACTATCATTCACAAGACATTTCCTGTCAAACTAATCAGAAGAAAGTTTCTATTACTCCCGAGAATTATATATAAACCAAGGTCAGAAAAGTTTTCCATCAGCGTGCCGCTTTGCATCCGTGCATCAATGTCGCCAGGTAGACCAATGTGAAGAACTCTCTGGACAGAAGTTATGTGCACCGCGACGCTCGCACAGACGTAATTGGAAAGAAGCTTTGATGGATTTCCACACCTTACGCGACGACGATTAAAATAGCAAGCATTTAATTTGTTTTCCACTTTGCGACCTTGTGCAAAGCGCCACTTTTCGATTACTTTCACATGGCGAATCGATATTCGGCCGGCTGAATAATTGGGTGACCCAAATGGGCATTTTGCAAACAATGAATAAATCAATCATCTGCGCCCAGAATACTAGATTCCAAATAAACTGAGTCATAGTACAAATGCATTTATTGGATTCAAAATGGCGACAAACATAATAATCAATACGCTAGTTTAGAGAAGAATGTAGAACAACTTCGGCGTTGGTATTTGGATCACATTCGCATCGTAAATAGAATAAATTCGAATGTAAACTTTTCAAGTGCTACTTGTGCGAAATTATTCCACCGTCATGTTATATTGGCATCTAATTACGACGAAACAGAGCCCTCAACCTGTCGATGGAAAACGTCACGCAAGGACTCGGTAACAAGTGCACTCGAGGATGAAAATCGCGGTAAGCAAAGATGGAGTGTAGGTGACACCAGCGCGACGAGTTTCTTGTATTTTTCCCTTCGCATTGATTTATCTGGTAACGAAAACCGTTATAAGACACTAGTGACGTGTTACGTGTGACAGGCAAACATAATGCATTATCTCATTGGTGTGTTAAACAAAATTTCAACGCAATAAATGCTTCGAAATGAAAATTTTTGTTTGTGGATGAAGTGAAGGCCGTGGGTAGCTGGCTCAAGGTGCGTTAATTAGCGGCCCACATTCGCGCTTATTTTACAGCCTTCACTTGCACCAAGGGCGCAAACACTCACCCGCACACCTACATATTTACAGGGAGCAATTTCGACAAAAGATTACGTCCGAACGTAATTGACATTACGCGCGCAGAATTTCCCACCGGCCAACAAAGGAAACGTGTTGAATCAGGTAAAGATCGCATCGAGTTCGGCTTGTGTAATCGCCGACAGCGTTTAACTCTTCGTCGTTATGACAATAATCATGCAATGAGTTGGCGGTGAACATGAAGCCTTGCTTGCAACCAACGGCGCGTTCGTAACAATTTAACTACCCTACAGCTGAGGGTGGAATAGTGACTCTGCTTTGATGTGTTGTATTTTTTATTTGAATTTATAAACGGAATTAATTACGAAAGCGCTAATAATAAGCATGGTACAAGTTATTATAACACGTGCTTTGCTATTATTGACAATAATAATAATGAGGTGTTGGATTATGCTTTAGTTTTACGTTTAGCAGACGTAGGTGTCAATAATATTTGTTATTATGTAATGTTTTATAATAATTATCATAATGTGGTTAAATACAAGTGATTTGGATGATTAAAACTATTGGAAATGATTTGGGTAGTTTGGTTCCCAACATTTTGAATTATTTTTCATTTTTTTAAAAGAGTATAACCTTGTTTAAATCATTTTTTACTTTAAAACTATTTTTCATACCGTTTTAGTTAAATTTCTGCAACAAAAAGTAGTCTATGTTATTCTCCTATGTTTAAACTATATCTATACCAAAATTTATCAAATTTGATCGAATAGATTTCGAGTTACAGTGTCACAAACATACAAACAACATTACATTTGCATTTCCAATGTTATTTTGGATTGGGATGTCGTAACACCGTACATGTCGCCCTCTATTGGACTAAAAATCTGACCGGCTAATGTATAAACTAATATTGAATCCTAATGGTTATTAAACAATAATTTTCCTGAATGACAAAACAAAACGCATCACGTTGCTCCAGGTTCCCCACAACATGCACTCCAGAATAAGGGTCACGATGAGGACGATACAAAATGTAGCGACAGATATCACATGCAAGCGCAGGTGACTTCATGCTTTCATAAGCCAATTCAAACAAAACCATAATGAATAATGAATCTGATAGTTATTAAATCGCAAATCTTCATTAATATTAAACCTCAATTATTCGCATTATTCAGTTTTATGAATTCTCATACTTCTGAATACATCTGAAGCACAAAATATATTTATTAAGCCAATTACGTAAATGCAATGAACCGCGAAATCTCTGATTGAACTAGGTTGATACAGCTGTGAAAGTGACAATAATTTTATCTCGTATTGCGTAATCACCACCAGATGAAAACCGCGTGTCTGCTATATAAAAGTTTTCCTTCCGTCATAGGTTTTCCTGCGCTCGCCGCCGGCCGATGAGTATTTTTATTATTTACAAGATTTTCCTGTCTTTTCTTGGCTGCGTGCTTTTTTATAGCAGAAGTAGTTGAACTCGTGTATAAAAAGGTTATTTGCTGACCATTCCAGGATCAAGGAATCAAGGAACGAATCCGGTAAAATTCTGTTGTTCCGTGCGACGCGTGAAAAACAAGAAGTAAACATTTAAGAGACTACGAGTAAATTACACGTGCGGAGGAATATAATAGAAAAACGATACAAGTATGTGTTAACTGGTTATTGAACCGTAAGGAGAGAAGATTGTGATTGCAATGATTGTAATCTTTAGCAGTAAAAAATACAATTAAAATTGTCGGTTCCACAGACAAGAAAAAACGAAATAAAAATAAAAATATTGAAAAAAATTCAACGAAAAAGTTTTCCTTGTGTTGAATTAATTTGAAAATCTGATTTTCTGCGTGTGTAATTGCCGTGAAGAAAAAAAACAATAAGACAATGCCATATGGTCACGGCCCGCGCGCATTATTCGCTGAATTTCCCACGTTGCAGACTTATCTCCACCGCCGATATTTTCTCCCAAGGCCCTTGGCCGCCGCGGCGCGCGGCGCAAATGGAATGCAACAGGGAAATGACTGCGGGAAAAAAGAAGCTCGATCTAAGCGCGTGCACGCTCCGCGATCGAACATTGAAGGCATTCCGTTTGCTTCTCTCTTTCTATGCCTCGCGGGTGGAAGCGCATGTAAGATTCAAGGAATTCGATTCCACGCGCCGCTATTATTTTAGCATTGACCTATACCACGCACAAATAGCTTTAAGCACAACTTTGAGGTTAGAATATAGGAATTACAGGGTTGAGGAAACAATTAATACATAAGAAGTAAAATAAATATCTAATTAGTTAAAATTAAGAATTTTGAGTTTAATACCGGTATTTTGGTGTACCGGTATACCGGTATTTTATATAGTATTGAAAATGATAAGTATTTGAATATAACAATACCGGTATTTCGGTATACCGGTATTTTGAGTTCAATACCGGTATTTCGGTATTTTTTAATATCAAAATATTGACTTATTGCTATATATCGATAGATTGTATTAAAAATACCGGTATTTAAAAATAAAAATACCGGTATTTAATACTCCTAATAGGAATTTAGTCAAATGTCCTTCATAAGAGTCTCCTTGAAACTTCAAGCTCGAGACAATGGCATACGATCCGCTGGTAAACTATAAACAGCAGCACTTAACATTTAAAAGCACGAGTAGCATGTTGTAACCACACTTCCACACAGGGTGTTCATATAAAAACAAATTCATTAAAAATTAACCTAAAAATTTAATTTTTGAAATTTTACCTAAAAACGCATTTTAATTTATTTTGAATTAAAAGTTTTATATTTTATTTAAATAATATTAATAATACACTGTATTTTGTGTCTGTGAAATTGCAATAAAACGATAAGCATCGAAAGATGTTAGGTATCAATGCACCAGCAGGAATTTCGCATGTTTGCACTGGTGTATTTCGACACGACTCAATAAGAAGACGACAGGAATAATATTTACTTTATTGCGTTCGGCTAGTTTGGTACGAAAGCAAATCGTGTCCGTGAGCAACAATAGGAAATTTTATTTTCACCTCTCGAAAGCATCAAATTAAATTTTTCAAAACACGTGCGTTCATTGCACCTCAATGTTTGTTTTGACAGAAATAGCGTGGCTTAAAAAAACTGTAAACTGTTCCTAAATAATTAAACTGAAAACTTGAAAAAACTCCGACCTATAAAATATTTTTTGCTTTTTTTGCTTTTAATTGTGTAAAAATCCTTGATCCTAAAACATAATCTTTTTGAATTGGCGAATCTGATATCCTTCTAAATTTATCAAGCGCTTGAATTAATTCGGTCGACACGTGTCCACGCCTCATGGGCGTAATTGATGATAATTCCTCATTTTCCATATTACCAGCGCTGATAACTCGTTATTTTCATACAGCGCGCGCGCTGATTCCGCAAACATGCAAATTGCTCCATCTCCAGCTCAACACAGAGAGAGAAACGTGAAAGAAATAACGCTGCGAAAAGCAGCAAATTGCTTGCAAGTGCGTACTAATCGCAACAAAGCAAACAAGTAATGAGATAGGTACAATCATGATTCAAAATAGGAACGTGTCCTCGAAGACATTTTTACGTTCGCGTGTTTAAATTGCTTAGGTATTCTGAAGCTGAGATAAAAAAAAACGTTTTACATTATAAAACTAGATTTTTATTATGCGAGAATTATGTGGATTTTATGCAATTGCGAATCGGGTGCTTGCTTCATTGATATGCGCAAGATCCCGCCGAGATAATTTGTTTTATATTCATTGAATTGCATTAATTGAAAGACCACAGCAGCACAAACACGTGTATTTAAGTAGCACGTGAGGTTGCCACAACTGGAGCAAACGGACGGCGGCGCATGATAATCGTGTATCTTCACAATCGCGGGAATCACAATGGAAAACGTGGAAATTGATTTGTTATACATTCGAGTACAGCAACATCGGAAACGTGCGGATGGGCTACGTCTGGCAGCATCCTGCTTCCAGCACATGTTGGGATTTTCTAAATTATTACTACAATTATCAGGAATTTTATCACGTTATAGGCAAGTATTGTTACATCAAGACACAAAAATAAATAAATATTGATTTTACGAGGATTGGCAACTGTTTAATTATTTGTATACTGGTTATAAACTTAATTACTCTTGTAAAAATGCCGGTAAATATTTGTTGAAGTTTAAATATGAATTCCGCGTCGCTCAGTTGTATTCACTTGCGTTATGTTTAAATGATTTTGTGGTAAAGCAACGTGCACCCCAATAAATTAGCTGAAAAATCGTGCTTAAGTTATAGAAATTTGCATTGCAATTTGTAGAGATGTTGGGATCATAATTACAACAATATTTCAAATGTTACCATCGATGTCATGTTTTTGAAAAAATATTCTAGGTTATAATTACTAGAAATGAAAATATTTTTCGTCGTTACACAGAGAAGCTGTAACACAATATCGAGGAAATTAATATAAATCATAAAAATTATATATATTACATCGTTATATAGAGTTTGTTGTTAATTCGACGTAACACTGTATTAAATTTTAAAGTCCAATGTTGGACTTACGGTATACACACCGAACATAGGTCTCCTAATGTAATTTTTGCAACTAATTGAACATATTTTGCCGTTATATTAAGTTTTTCGTTAAATAGAAGCATGTTAAACCAATACTACTCTTTATTTTGTTAAAGAAACACCCAAACAATGAACAATTGTAATTTTTCCCAATGGAAACCCCAGAATTTGATCATTACTCATACCAAAAATTCAAAATCAATTCGAGGCATTCGGAAAATTTCACGTGACACATACATCCAATTTTTTACAAATTGTTTACAAGAGGAAATTTTAGGAACTCAAAATCTGCCCACAGAAATCACAGAAAATAAAAATACACAAAACTTAATGCGCTTTATTGTTCCACGATTGATTGCAAAATTTGCGAGTTTATTTGATTTCATCCGAAAATTGCAACCAAAATGGTTACACACACAAACACATTTCGAGAGTTTAAGACGAAACGGAAATGAAACGCAAGCAAAAACCCGAGTGGCTCGGATTGAAAAATTGTGTCGAATTTAATGCGGAACTTGCTAATCGTTCACACATGCGCTAATTTTAAGTGACCTCGGAACAAAAAGCACAATGTATACACGCCGCGAAAATAAATATTGTAAAAAGTTTGATTCAAGTTTAAAACGCAAATTTCATTCATAAGTCCAAATATCATGTTATGTTATGTTACGTAGAGTAATTGTATTCAACGAATATTTACTGGATGTCGATTAGGTTGGTGTGGAATTTGAGCTTTGACTTAAAAGCTCACTTTGACCGGATACACGCACATTAGAACATTGCATTTGTGGTGCATTCACATTAGTTTCGCCTGTTTCGAACGTTTTGTTTTTGCTTTAATGCACGCGCTTGAATTTTTCGCAAATTTAGAAGTAAATAGTTTCAGGAAATGCATGCGAGTAAATAACTAATTAAATACACAATGTTTGTTGTTGTCCATTCATTCGCAAAAATAGAACTTTTGTAATGCGCATGTAATAAAATCCGTTTGATCGCAATTCACAGATTAATTAAAATATTTTTGCGTAAACGGATTTATTACGAAACAGGAAAAATACTGTTTTGATGCGAATGCGTTGTTTGCATCACAATTTTAGATCCGTTAGGAATTTCCTGGCATGCATCCAGAATTTTTCTTTTAGTAAATGTCACCTGATTGTCAAAAAATCAAAAAATCATTTCCCAGTGAAAATACAGCTTAATTAAGTATTATTTTCATGCGAGTAGAACCAGTTTGGCCTTCAGCACTAATCATCCTCTGTTTTCAATAATTTATCTTGCAAATCTTCAACGTGCTGGTCCTTGGCACACGCCGACGCCGAAGGCGCCGAGGACACCGGTTAATGCAGCGGCTAGTCGCGTGCCGCATACCTTAATGCGCATCCTTACCGATAGTCACATACTGGCGACGCATGTAGGTATTCTTCGCGGAGAGCATCTGGCTGCGGCGGCGGCGGCGGAGGCAGCGACGCGTCGTCATGGCGACTCCGTCGGCCAGCTGGTTATATACGTCGCGACGCCCGACGACGCTCGCCAGTCGCGTTCGCAGCATCACAGCGATCACTCTCTGGAAAATCAGGGAACACGCGGAAATTTTTCATTGCGCGCTCAGATATTTACTAAAACTTTGTGATTTTTTGTGGGACTTTTAATCAAGAGAGAAAAAGCTTCAAGACTTCATAATCAGTGGTATAAAATAATCTATTGTTTAGGTAAGTTGGGACAAATATTTTAATTAATATTTATAGTAATTTAAGAGAAAAAATTAATTTTTAACAGTACAAGAAGAAAAATTAAAATAAAAAATGCAGAAAATAATTTTTTTTCATTTTTGCTCAATTTAAATTAATTTTGACAAATTTAACGCTGAAATTAACTTTAAAATATTATTTTTCTTAGTTTTTCTTAATTTTATTTAAAAATGCATTTAAATTGCATAAAACACAAGAAAAATGCTTAAAACCTTAAATTTTAAATGATTAAGTAAAACAATCCACAAAAACAAGCGCTGAAATTGAGAAAGCAGGTCCTGTTGAAGGATTACGCTGCGGTTGTATAAACCGCGCGACTCAATCGTCGCTTGAAACTCGAAGAAGAAAACGACTCGGGAATGCAAAGAACGAGAAATATTATGTACGGACGTGTTGCGGGCATGCAAATGCCGGCGTAAAAATAAATGCGAATGTAAAGGTCAAAGTTAAATCAGAGCTTTCGACGAAAAGCTAGGCAAAGCGAAAGCTTTCAGTTTAGGTAATAATCAACCTCGTTCTTCTTCATCTGTTTCCGCGGAAATTCCGCAGATAGCAACCAAATGAAACCTCAATTCTTCAAAAAATAAAAAAAAATCTTAATAAAAAAGAAATCCTAGAATTTTTGATTATACTGCTGAGGAAACTCATTATTTTAGAAAAAACTTGTTATAAAAATGTCAAAGCACATAACAGGCTGCAATATACACCTGCGCTATCCTGAATTTACAATTGCACAACAGATATCACATGTAACGTGCAAGTAACAAGCACCGGATGTGTAATACACGCAGATGAAATAAAATTGCATTTTAACGGATGTAGCGCATGCTTTTAATCAATTTTATTGTTGGAAATTCACAAAGGTGAATTAATCTCAGATAATTTAATTTAAAAATTTGATTTTTTATTGTTTTATGGCTCAAAACGCGCAATTTACGCAATATAATTGGTTTATAATCAGAACTAAGCAGTTTAATACCAGTTTCGCGTAGGAGGCACTTTAAACTAATGATCGGTATGCATGAAATTGATCTCTGGTTAATTACTTCGAATTATTAAGCAAATTCAAGCCGTATAGCGACTATTTTTAGCCCTGAATGCATCCAACATCTGCCGAATTCGCCGCGTCTATAATATATATAATCTTGTGCCAAAATAATTCAAGTTTGCATCGCTGGGGAAGCAAGTAACGAGCTGTTACCGGGGACAGCCTGATAATAACTTTGTTTTCGTTTATTTACGGCGCTCGCGCTCGCGCACGAATAAAACGCGCCGGTTTTACTACAGTAGATGCGCGAAATATTCGCCGCTTCCGAGGCGTATGCAAAACGTTGAAAGTACGAAGCTATTTGCAGCGTCTATGAATGGATCCACGTCCACGTTCGCGCATTGATTCACCGGGCGGGTTCAATTTGTTAAACAAGCGATGGAGATGACGCAAGGCATCGGAATCTTCGGGATCTCTCGATGAGATAATCCGGTGCGAAAAAACTACTTGTGATGCGGCTGGCGGTGTGCGGGTGGGAAACTACTTAGGTCCGCTGGGAAATGCGACGACACGGTGGGATGTGAAACAACAGCTTACGACGTCATGACAGGCAAGCGCACTTTTCGAAAAATCATCCCGGACAGATTTCGCTCTTCAAACGTCTATTTTTATATGTCGTGGGTTCTCACTCAAAGTAGATTCATATTTGAACATTTGTGCATGGAAATCCGATTGCGCGGATGGTGCATTTCAAGGAAAATAGGGTTTTAGTGCGGAATTACGAGCGGAAATGCTTTTGTTAAACCTTGAAAGAGATTAGGGATGGCCATGAGGTTTGTAAGTGAATATTTGATGTATTAAAGACCGATTATTGTTGTTAACAATGTTTAACCAGCATAAGTCTTTAATATTATAGTTTTATTTATTATTTTTGTCGTATTATAAATCTATTTTTGATTTTTGTAACATTTTTGCATAATCGAAATTTTAAAATGCAAATTTTGATTTTTTTATTTTTTCATATTTTGGGCTGTTTTTGGCTTTTTTCAAAATTTTTTTGACACAGAAGAAGACTAATCATCGCAGTATATGAAATATCAATTTACAAGTCACAAAAATTAAAATTGACTGAATAATTGAGTTTTTTCGGCGAGTTTTTGCCGATTCTAACATTTTCTTATATTTTACATAATAATTTGTCCCCTAAAGTAATTATACCCTCAATTATAATTTGCATAGTTGTGTAAATTGATGTTTACATAAGGAACTCCTGAATGACTGGAATCTCGGCACGCGCTCCCGCTAAAACTAGCAGCGAATTCGCGGAAAATGCACATTAGTGTACCGCGTCCGAGACAGGAAGTTTACATCAATAAAACTTGCATCGCGATCGAGTGCAACTTCGACATCGCCTCCGGCATGCACTTTGACGATTCCCGACAAATGCCTCGGCAAACGAGAACGAGGACATTGTGCCAGCATTGCAAATGTGCTTCGGATCGATTTTCATTTCATTCGACGTTTTAATTGGCTTCGTGGTTAATTTTTATAAAACCTACAAAAAAAATGTTGAGGCCAGTGACATGCTTTTTCAAAGTTAATTCACAATGATGACTTTTTTCCCAAATGGGACTTCATTAAATGAAATTTTATTCCACAAATTATAGGTCATGAACTCGCCTCCAACTCGGAGTATTTAAAAAATAAATTGGCAGATATAAATTTCAACAGAGATTAATTTAATTTGTTAAGCCAAGGAAGAAAAAACTTACCGAGCATATTAAGTAAACGTTGTACAAAATAACAATTATTCTAACCTTTGACATTACGCCGGCGGAGTTCCAAAATCGCAACAAACTTCCCAATTGTTATTTTATTCAATGAGACCTTTCATAAAACGGAAAACCGAGCCAACTTATCATCTCCCCGGATACTACACGCGTTCCAATCGACGGCTTTGCGCCAAATGGAAGACTAATTGTATGCCTAACAAGAGGAGAGCGGAGATGAGTCGATAACTTCGTTACATTTTCACGAACTGCGGCGCCTCGCAACGGCTCATTCAACTTGATACAAATCCCAGTCGGATCTTAATACATTCATAAACGCGTTTACTTTATCCGCGAAGCATGAAAAAAGTTTAGATTTAATTTGCTCAGCGCGTAACTCCCCGAAGTGTGTGAATGGAAAGGTCTTGGCATTAATTAGAAAACTTGTGGGAGATATTAACAGAGAAACAGAAAAATGGGAACGGATGCTCCCGAATGTAAACAAGTAATGAGGTTTTATTAACACAAGCAAAAGGTGGAACGAATTAAAAGGATTAAAGAAGTTCGTTGGGTTGCATAGTATCCTATTACCCTACAAACCTATTTAATACTTAACCTAATATAACCTAAAATTAAATTTTTATAAATTTTGGTTTAATTTAAAAGAGTTTAACATAAGTTAAGTAAAACGTGTGGTTTTACTAAGTCCAAGATCTAAATATACAAAGGAATTTATTTTTTCGTCTGTGAACGTAGAAAAACGACTTTGAAACGAAAAAGAAGCGACTAAAAATATTTAACGACGTTCAAACCAGCGAAAATGTCTATTTGAGTTAAAATAGTTTTGTAATCGATGAGGAAATTCGCAAATTGTTTTCAAATAAAAGCTTCGCGGAAATCAAACTCAAACACGCATTGAATATTCGTAGAAATCTATCTGGTGTTATAAAATTTCATCGAATTGCATTTACTTAGAATATTTCACATTGTTTCAAAATAAAAAATAAAAGAATAAAAATTCACAACAGTGTGTAATGCCAATAGTTGGAAAACAATGTTATCGTCTGTTCTACTATGCTTGCACAGTTTACAGTTTACGAACGTAAAGAAATGGATACATAAGACTTTTATTTTTATGCCACTCGCGAGACGCTTGGCGCCTCGACACGATGTTCATAGATTTACAGTTTTGAAGTTTTCACACTCCTACAAGCGAAATTATTAGAGCGTGCGCTTTCCACGCGTTTTTCTACAGGCAAACGTATTTATTTTTATTAATTTTATTACTTTCGTGTTGACAAATTGTAGGACAAGTCTAGAGAATCACGAAATTGATTCGTAAAAATTTTATTTTCAAGTGAAATAGTGAAAAACATTGTTTGCATGTGCGTTGAATAGTAAATTACATAGTAAGAGTAGAAAACACTAGATTATAAGCTTGTGCAGGCATTTTTTCACGTTATAGAACAAAAAATAACAAATTATTGAGATTTTACGCGTTTGGCATCTGTTTAATTTTTGTAAACTGGTTATAAACTCAATTACTCTTGTAAAAATGCCGGTAAATATTTCCTGAAGTCTAAATATGAATTCCGCGTCGCTCAGTTGTATTCACTTGTGTTATGTTTAAATGATTTTGTTGTAACGCAACGTGCACCCCAACAAATTAGCTGAAAAATCGTGCTTAAGTTATAGAAATTTGCATTGCAATTTTCCGGGATGTTGGGATCATAATTACAACAATATTTCAAATGTTACCATCGATGTCATGTCTCTGAAAAAATATTCTAGCTCATAATTGCAAGAAATGAAAATATTTTTCTTCGTTACACAGAGAATTTTGATTGTGAATAAAATATAATAGAATATTTTCAAGAATGCATCCGTCGCCGTACATTACATAAATCACATCCACCGGCGCCTACATCTGTCGCACGGCTAAGATTCGAAGTGTATTCGAAATAAAAATCGCCGTTGTCGTTGCCATAAACATCGCGCGCGTGTTGACTGGCGGCACTAATTTGTCGCGCCTTCGGAACACGTCCAGCGCGAGCTTTCGGCACACGCTGCGCTTAATCCTGATTTTTTTATTAACGCGGACATTCTTAATCTGAACTTAACGCGCGCGCGGGATAAAAATGCGCATTCGGTCCATGCCGTAAAACAGTAAAACACGCGCGCAAAAAGCAAACTGTAAAAACGCAACGATAACGAGCGATGCATCTGCGGTTAATCGGTTGCTTGTTGACTTTATGTGTTTTGACGCGCTGTGTAAATTGTATGCTTTGTCTTTTAGTAGCTACCGAGGGAACCTCTTTAATTTTTTGTACTTTATAATCATACAGAGTGTTACGTAAATCAAAACAATATAAATAACCAAAAATTTTCTTTAAAATTCGTTAAAACTACTTTTAAGGCTAAAAACTGCAAAATTTAATTTTTAAGTTAAATTTTGTGAGTTTATTTACAAGCAGCAGTAGATGTTTTTATTTTTTTGAGTGTAATCGATCAAGATGCAAGTTTTCATAACACTGGATTTAGGTAAGTGGGATTTCATCGAGTTGGAATGCAAGCAAAATGCATTTGCATAAAACCCGGCAATATACGATTATGCCAATCGGCATTCCACGCCTTATAAATATACCACACTTCACGAAACACACTTCCAACCAAGGAAGAAAATAATTCTGAGTCACGTTAACGTATTTTCTTTGTTTACAGATTTTTCACACACGCGAAATCCTTCAGAATGAAGACAGAGGACAAAGCCAACACTTCGAAGGTGCGAATTGCTGTCCTGGGCCAATGCAATGTCGGCAAATCAGGTAAAATAATAAACATATATTTATTTTACCAATCAACGTATTTCCGGTGCGATAAAAATACCGCGCGACGTCTGCGCTGGCCTCTCACTCGTCCTATGTTTACATTAATCGCTTTTTACGAAAATTTATTTTCCAATCCAAAGTCCGGCGCGACACCGCGTCGATTTGTTTGTTTAATATTCTAGTGTGTTGGCACTTGAAACGACTGAATGGCTGAAAAATTTTCGACCCGAGATTGATTTACAACTTTGCGTAAATTCGAACACTTACATTTATTAGCGAACGCTCATTGAAACACTGAAGATAATAATGATGTATCGTCCGATGGTCATAAAATATGGAGCAAGGAAAAGCGAACTGTTTCGCAAAAGCTGCGCGCGATTGTAAATCACCGTAACAAATTAAAATCGAAATAAAATCGTGAAGGATGTTCCATTGGTGCTTTATGCATACGCGACAAATACGTTTACCAGTCGTAAAATGCTAACCAGCAGTTAACTTCAATCAACGGGCTGGGTAATTAAATTAATTCGATAAATATACCTACGGGACCTTTAAAAATCCTTGAAATTTTTGTTTATTATAAATTACAGCAATATTTATATCAAGATGTTTGAGTAAACCTGTAATTTCGGAAGATTTTCACAAGTTTAACGCAATATTTTGCCTATTTTACTATCGCAGAAATAATACACAAAAATGTTTAGAGTTTTTTAAATCTGAATTAGCTACAATTAGATAATTGACCTAATTTTTAATGCGTGACTTTCGTTTATTGCTGGAGTCGTTAAATTTGATCTCCAGCCTTGAAATCTAGCAATTTCCGTCGGAAATATTCAAAGCGAAAAAATCAACACTTTTTGCCGTGGACTGATTTCAGTGCACTTTAAATTTTACGATGTGAGTGTACTACGTGTACTAAAAGCTTATTTTCTTTCTAGCCCTGACTGTGAGATACTTAACACGACGATATATCGGCGAATACAGAAGCAACACAGGTAAATACCTCATCAAAATATTAATAAATTAATTAATTCAAGTTTAATTTAAAAGGTGACATGATCATGTTTTTGATTTGTGATGAAAAAGAGTAAAGTATAAATTGTTGGGCTAACGACCCGAAAATTAACATCATAATTGGCGAAATTAAACTGTCACGAAGTCTGTAGTTCTGCACAACGCATGTGGTGCACGTTTTTGTCTCTTCGGGCCGAAAAATAAGAAGCCAAAGAACTCGCCGGAGTGGTGCGCTGTCGGTTCGCTTTCGTCGATTTCATTATTATTGTCAACACTTTCGGCGGCGGCGTAAGAAGCGCAAGAAAAAAGAGAAGCAGTGAGTAAAAACATATTTGTGCGAATATAGGTTTCGGTTTCAATGCTTTAATATGAGTTTTGGAGTCCTAAAAAGTGGCGCGCTATTAAAAGCACATTGGAAATTAACTAATAACATTTGGGCGGTTAAAAAGCCATCTGGGTTTCCAAAGAATTGCAAAAAATGACTTACAATGAGCACAATGTCAAGCTAAAATTATTTTAGAATATTCAAATCAACAGAATTTAATAAAAAACGCAAAGTTTATTTTATTTTGTAATTTAATTTTCATGCATTGAATAAACAACTTTATGATTTATAAAATTTACCAAACAATCAATCATTTAATAGAGAATCTATTATTCTAATAATCTTTTAACAAAAAAACGTTTTTCAACCTAAATTTTCACTCTGACAGGATGAAAACGAGCGCGAGTACGATCGGTTTATTCATAACTTTATTACGCTGCGTACTCCGTTCGAATAATGTTTATGTGTGTGGAGTGCGCGCGAAGACTGACAAGACCATATAAAATCGCCGAAATTATTGGTCAACCTCGATTATCCTTCCCGCACGCGCGCGAAATCGTTAAACGTGCACAAGTCAGCAATAAAGTGCTTTTCCGAATTAACGATGCACCGATTTTTTTATTTTTACTTGCAAATTGATTCCAACCATTCATAGCATACCTATATTTATATTTGAAGTTGTATATAAATATGGATCGTTAGGAAAATGAGCGTTGTGGATCGCGTGCGCGCACAAAGCAATTCAATTTGGCATGAAGACGCTTTCAGGAGACGCGCGAGCTTTCAGACACGCCACGTTTGTTAGATGGATGGAGGCAAATTAAGGTTAATTGACAATTTACCTACTTTAACGCGATTTTTAACGGATTTTTTTCGCGATATTATTTTAAAACATTGTTTTTTAGTTCAAGTGCATTCATTTTAGGTCGTTGTTTATTAAAAATATATTTTTGAGATGAGATTTATTACACGTCAATGGGAAATTTATTGCGCAGGTGCTTGGAATGCACCAATAAACATTTTTACAAATTTTTAATTTGTAAATATACTCAATGGATTTAAAGCTTGAAAACATTTTTCGGCAGACCTGTCGTTAAATCAGGCGAAAATCTAAAAGGCGGTAAAGTAAAACGTGTTTTTCGGGCGTGAACATTTTCTGTTTTTCGCACCTAAACGCCAAAAATGCCACATCGGATTTACGTCTGTCGCCAAAACGACGCCGCGACTTTTTTTAAGCCAGATATTTTTTGGCAAAGTGCACATCTTATAAAAACCAGTTAATTATGATTTTTGGCATAACTACATCTTATTATCCACGCCCAAAGTGTGTAATTTGCAGTTAGATGTTTTTCTGTGCAAATTTTTACATTTCTTAACTTTGGCGATGAAAATACGGCGTAATTCATATAAAAATAAATTAATTCAAGGTTTTCTATGGTCACGTAATAAATAAAAACACCTTTTCTGTTAAATTTTTTATTTTTACCATAAAAACAGCTCTAAAATGTCAAAAATTAGATTTTTTCCAATTTTTAAAAATTAGTCATAGAAAACACACATTTGTGACTTAAAAATGAATCAACGATAGTCAAAATGCAGTAGTAAACGATGCTTGTTTTGAGAAGCCAAGTAGCAAGCTGAAATTTATATCCTGACTCAAACTTGTGCGGTGATTTGGCATAGCGCGTGTACAAATTTACGCTGTTTTACTCGACACGTCGAAATGCTCGTCTTCATAAACATCTATCTCGCCTTGGCGTCGCTCAGTTATGAATGCATACGCGACTCTCATGTCGATGGCATGCAGCTAGGATGTAATATTCGAAACCCATTATTTATAATGCACGTTTAAGTTTGCCGTTACGAAACATGGAAGAAAAATATCATTTAAATTGAACGCAGTTTCCGCGCAACAAGTTGATACTCGTAGAAATGTATAATGCATGTTTGTTTTCGCATCCATCATGGTCACGTGTGTAGAGAAATACACACCACGTTAGAATAACACGAAAATATAAGGCGTAGTAAACACCTATGAGTCAGCGTATGTCATTTCACTTTAATTTTCAGGATTTTCGGTGATTAATAAGAATAATTTTGAAATTTTTAGATTTTTGAGGAAAATATTGCGAAATATTTATTATTTATTTGCTTATTTAACATATAATACCAAGAATTTCTCTAAATGCATTTTCAATCCGCACGTTTTTGATTGATGTTTGCTCCGATTGAAATTTCCGTCTATTTCGCAAAATCCTCGCCGCCTGAAGTATTTTCAAAGCATCGCCGACTAAAAATACGCACACCGGTCTATAATGAAACCATTAAAGCGGCATTTATTCGCCCCGGCTGCTAAAAATTGCATATTTATTTAATTCCCGCGCACACGTTTCCAACTTCCGAACTACGGCTTCTGTTTATTTCGCGCGCAGAGACGCTGACAAAATCGATGCCGACGATGTCATGTGTTCCGACATTCAAATCGGTTGCATCTCGTGCGCCGGCGAACGCAAACACGTCGAATTTATTTAGCTAATCGACGAAGAGGTCGAACCTGACAACACTCACACGCACAAATTCGCCGAAGGTGATTTATTAATAGCGATGCATTTGGAAATGCGCGGCGCAAATAGAGCGAAAAGCTTTGAAGTAGTCTTTTGTTGACTCCGTGCGGCAATGTTTTGCACACGTACATAGCGAGGACGCCGTTACACTTTCAGCGATGAGTTTATAATTTGAATATTTTCTTGTTGTTGCAGATCTCCTGTACAAGCAAACCCTGACCGTGAACAACTCGGCGTTCGAGGTTGAAATCGTCGATGTTTCCAATGGGGAATTGAGTTTTCCGGAGGAAGCGATTTACTGGGCGGATGCCTGCGTCGTAGTTTACGACATCACTTCGAGGACTTCATTTACGCAAGCGTGTAACTTACTGCAACGAGTTCAACAATTACGCAGTCAATTGCCGATGATCTATGTTTTATTGGGAAATAAGAGTGATTTGGAACATTTAAGACAGGTAAATATCACTTTAAAAAAGTTTTTTAAATTTTTTAGATTTTTTTGCGTCGTGAGTAAATTGAGAGGTCAACTGAAGTTGTATAAGGTTAAAAAGCACGAGTTTCTATTGCCACGCGCTTCCACTCGATTACAACGCGCTCGTGCGAATCGCGGCGCCGGAAATGGCGTTTTTACGCAGGTCAAGCACGCCGCTGTTTTGATCCTTTGTTTTCCTCGATTTTTCGCCGCGAGTACGTTGACATTGGTTGACCGAACGGGTGGAAAACAAACAGCACGTGTGTGATTATTGCGTGTCGCACGATTTTTCCTCCTTCTGTCTGCGTGTTTTTCTAGACGAGCGCGCGCACAACGAATGCGGAACTGTGGCGATCGAGGAAAATTCCTGAACGTGTTGCACAACGCGCGCGCTCAACGCTTTCGTCGCGTTTCATTAAGTAAGACGTCGTTTATAATATCGGATGACATCTACATCTCTCAGCCGGGGAAAAGATGCTCGGACACATGCTCGATCATAAAAAATCGGTTATAATTATCCCGGAAGTGAATTTTTATCCGTGGAAATTCCTGCGACTCCTACGAGTGTTTTTTTCTTGCATTCCTCGGATGGAGATTTCGCAAGACGTGCATTTATTAAGATGAAACGCAGCCAAAAATTTTCTCAATTTATCAAACGATTAACGAAATATTTTTTACTTAAAAATTATTTTTGTTGCAGGTTGAGGAGGATGAAGCTCGCACGCGCGCAAATCAACAGAATGTGCAGTTTTATGAATGCTCAGTGGCGGAGAATACAGATTCGATTTACACATCCTTCGATTACATCCTGAATGAATGCCGTGCACATCAACAGCAGACGAATAAGACGCGCAAATTTTCGGTGTCGAAAATGATCGGCACTCTTATTGGGAATAATGGAAAAGTTTCGCCGAATTCACAACCGCAGAGTGGGACTGTCGTCGTGTGTCATAAGTCTGATTTGTACAAGTCGCGGATCCTTAAACGACGCGCCAACTTTACGGCCACAGCGTCTCTATGACCAGAAGAAAACGTCCGCTGAATTTACCCACAACCAAAATATGCAACTATATCAAAAATAAGCCAAATAGACAAAGTCAAGGCGCAGATGCAATACTTCTCAGTTTTATGAGAAGACAGATGATAAATTTTTTGTTTCTTTTGTTTTCTTTTAAAATATTGAAGATTTTAATTACACATTTATTAAATATTTAATTAAAAGTGAATTGGCATATCACACTAAAATAATATTTCAATTTTTTATTTATTTTCTTTTAATTTTTTCATTTTTCTTGTTTTGTGAATTAAAATGTTTGTTTTGAGTGCTTGGGCGATAGAAGGAAAATTGGCTGTGATATTTATCTATTCATAATTACTGTATTTGATAAATACTCATATATATTTATAAATGAATTCACGAATCAATGAAGATGCGAGCAGAAACGTTACGAATTGCCAAAACAAAATAATAATGTAAGCTATACACGTGTAATATTAGGACTTAGTCTAAGTTTTTCAAAAGCGTAGTTTAAGAAATTATAACTTTTTATATTGTATCAAATGCCAAATATTAAATATGCAAATTGTTATGTAAAAAACATGCATGGTTTCATACCATATTTGATGAACTTTTTGTCCTCGTGATGAGAAATGTACAAAAATGTCTGAAATATCAAATATAATAAGTGTATGATAAATTTTCCTTTGTTTTGTTTAAACCCTAGTTAATAACTATAATATCTAGGCATAAACTAATTACCTTGAAGATCAAACGTTATACTTTGAGCAGGTACCGGATATCCGGTTGTTTTGACTCTTGTAAGCCTGCATCCTACTATACAGCAACAGAATCAAAAACTATAGAATAAAATATATTTAACAAATTGAATCTTTAAAAATATGAATTTCATCAATAAAATGTCTTTATAAATAAATATTTTACAAAAAAATTAAATTGACATTTGATATTAATGTGACATGTGTTAAAATATTTATTTACTTTAACCGAGAATATTTGTTATCTTTCCGAACAACATTTTAATTGTCTTTACTACGAAATTCAACGCAAATTTCTTGTACACCAATGGATTTTAAGACGTGCCAAAGAAAGTTCACAAGTGAACTGGATATATTTAAAACAACTACGAAATTGAAGCAAAAATGAATGGTATTAACGTTGATGATGGACTTTCAGCTCAAGATAATGAAACATTCCTGATTGCAAGTATGGCATTTCTTCAACAACATGCAAAGAGGAAGCTTGGTGCTTCTAAAGAATCAACTTCTGATATATCTGATGATCAAGCAGAACGCAAAAATTTAAGAGAACATATTCTAATATGTTATTATTTGAAACACCCTCTATAAGTGAGAATGGTCAAAAGGAACGATTTTATTTGAAATTGAAGAATTCAGAAAAGTTTTTAGACGTGATTAAAAACGAAACATGTTTGGTTCCCAGCAATATTTTGTCACAGGAGCAATTATTGCCTGCAAAGGTGAAAAACCCGAAAAGATTCCCCAAACTTTTTAACAGCAAATCTAAAATAAGCACGAAGAGGAAAATTGAAACATTGACACCGAGAAATTCGATTTTTAATTTGTTTCGAAGCGGAAGAAATAAAAAGTTTAAGAACTCAAGCACCACTCAGGTTCCAATTATAATTGACAATAAACACGACACAAAGAGAGTTTTTGAAAAAGACTGGATGAGTGAAATTAGCCAAAAATCACAAAAAAGTTTCAAACATAAACCAGAACTTGAATTAATATCAGAATTAAGCATGAGTGAACATAATTCGTTAAACAAGCAAAATTCAAATAAAAAATTCAGTGCAAAATTATCAGATTCGTTAACAACTGTTGAGAAATATATTTTAGAAGATAACGAAAAGGATAAAGTTCCCAATCAGTCTAATAACAATAAAATAAAAATTATGAGTCATGAATATTATTGTGTTGACAAAAGAAGAGAGAAATATAAAAGATTGAGTAGACCATTATCAAAAATATCAGTTTGTATTGAAGAAGAAGATGAAGAAGATACTGATGAAGACTATCAGTTTAACAATCAAAAGAGAAAATATCCAAGTACCAAAGAAAAACGTGATATTAATATGGAAGAGAAAAGAAGAAATATTGAAAGGACAGCAAGTCAAATATCAGGATTTAGTAATTTTTCGGATGAGCTGAAAGCAAATCTAACATCAGAGGTTCTCAACAGTATTATTTCACAAATGATTGTTTATTTAGAGGATGCACCAGAGCACAAAGATGTAGTAAATTTATAAATAATTAAAACCACATCAAAATGTAAACTTTCTATGTGACATAATATGATTTATTTTCGGTTGATAATTTTAGCACTTTTATTTCACACATTTCATAACACAATACAACTCGATCAACAATACTGTCCATAAATAAGATCATAGCACACGCCGCGCGATCGATTGCTATTTGTAATATGATTCGTAATGTTTCCCCTTTGATAAATTAGACGCGGCTTTTATTAGGTGTCCCCCGCAAAGCACAGAGAGATTATGCAAGCATAGCAAATGTAAACGATCGAATTTCGATGTAATTTATCAAAATCTGCTCGTTTCCGCGATGCGACTACAAAGAAATGCGCATAATGACACGCGGGTGATTGGTGATATTTAAATCGTCGATCACCACCAAATCTAACAGAGTTGTATTAATAAATAATAAAATAAATTGTAAAATTAGGATTTAAGACTATTTTGAACCGATAACACACTTTTTAATTAACTTAACTCATACATTTTGTGTGTTATGAATTTTTGTAATATTTTATTTTTCAAATATTTAAACCTACCCTGTGCAAAATACACAATAGTAAACCACCCGCTTGCCTATTGTGAACATTGTAACACTGTCATCGCGTCTCGATCACCATACAGGTGTATTTAAAAGATGAAAACTTATAATGTTTGTTATGCCAGGTTGCGCGAGCATTATACTTCGAGGGGGTGGTGGCGCATTATATAAATCGGTATAAAATCCGAAAATGCGCCAGATATAAATCAGTCAATTATGGAAGCTCCTCTAGACCTATCGCTTAAAAAGTTTAGTAATAATAGTGATAATAACACCTTCAATCCACCAATAAACAATGGTTTTAAGATGAAAAACCCTTCAAAGAATAAAACATTGTTTTGTCACTTTTGTTTTAAACAATTCGATCGTCCATCACTTTTAAAGCGACATATATTAACACATACAGGTAATGTATATTTACCGGTGAGATTAAATCGAATTAAATAATATTATTGCTTTATTGTTACAATAGGTGAGAAACCACACGTTTGTACTGTATGCAAGAAGGGCTTCTCTACTTCAAGTTCACTTAACACCCATAAAAGGATTCATTACGGGTTAAAACCACACGTTTGTAATATTTGCGAGAAGAGATTCACTGCTAGTTCCAATTTGTATTATCACAAAATGACCCATTCAAAGGTAAATTTTTTAAAGTTGTTGTACAGTAGAATTTAGAGTTTTAAACCGTAGATTCATACATTTTGTAGATAAAACCACATAAGTGTAACTTATGTCCTAAATCCTTCCCTACTCCGGGAGATCTTCGTTCACACATGTATCTTCATAATGGTTCCTGGCCATTCCGCTGCGTAGTTTGCTTCAGGGGATTTAGCAAATCTACAAATTTACGGAATCATTATATTGTTCATGTACGTAAATAAGAAATATTACGCCAGAAACATGAGGACAAATATTATAATGTAGTTTTTATTCTAGTTTGATTGATATAAACTAGGATTTCATAGTTTTTTTTTCGTTGACAAGTTTAACGCATTGCGCATGTTAAAAACTATTTGTCAATACAAAGAATTTTTAAATTAATACAATTATAAAAGATTAATGTGCATGTAAAACTTATTATTAATAAATTTATTAAATTCGTGGTAATATACTCTTACATTGGATTTTAACTACAAAGTTTTTTATGTTTATAGAATTGATTATAAGAAGAATAATAAGAACTATTTATTATTCGGAGCAAGTCGCTCCGCCGAGAGTTAACGATCTATGCATTTACTTTTCAGGTTGGCATTGCTGCCTTATCAGTGTACGACGCACGCCGCAGGTGCGCGAAGATGCGCGCGATGCGTTAGTCGGCCGTCGTTGCTGGTTGTCGTCGCGCGTCTGTTCGCGTCAACCGCCCGTCGCCATGTTTATTCGGCAATCTTCTCTTGTGTTTAGCAGTGATAAACGGGTGTTTTGTTTTGCTAATGGATCGCTTTGTGTGAGGTCTTCACCAACCGATACTTAGGAGTAGCAGCATGGAGGTAAGTTCAGCAATAGGAATTAAATCGAATTTTCTTGTCATTTAAAACCAGAGATGTTTATCTCTAACAAGACGTGATATCGTTGTGTGAAATGATTTTAAATCTCTTTATTTTGTTTTTTTTTAGCATTTGTCTTTGATGTGCAGTGCGTAATACACATGGTTATATTCGGGTAAGTTTTAATTAAATAATTCTTTTAATCAAAATATACGCCATGAACTTGCACAATACCATCGTTCTTTTATCGTCTCTACGTTGTTATCGATGTTTGTTTATCAACATTCTTTCATTGCTATGTGTTTTTATCGCGTTCTCTCGTTCTTGCTGCGTGTTGTTACCGTACTCCACCATTTGCATTCGGGTTAAAATATTAAATATTAATCAATTTTGAATAAATCTTGCGGCAACACCCTGTAAAAAATTCCTGAAAATTGCTAATTTTCGTCTCTTCTGAAAACACGGTGTGGAAATTGCACTGTATTTTGCGAACCATTTCGGATATTTGCCTGATTTTTTTATGATAACAAAGCGCGAGAAACATTCTTTTTAAAACGTATCAGTAATCTTCAAAATCTTTACGGCACTATAACTAAAATTCTTGAAAATTACTTAATTTTCAATGCTATTAAAACACGCGGTGGAAATTGCATCTCGCGAACCGTTTGCCAAGATATTTTGCGTGGATTTATTTATGATAACGGCGCGGGAATAATCTTTTTAAAACGTATCAGTAATCTTCAAAAATCTTTGCGGCAACACGCCCTGTAAAAAATTCTTGGCGAAATTTTCAATTTTCCATTATCTTCTGAAAAGGCTGCACGGTGGAAATTACGGCACGTATGAGCGATTTGGAAATATTTTGGTGACTTTTTTGCGTCGCCAAGCGCGAGAACCGATGCTTTTTAAAGACGTATCAATAAATGTAAAAATCGCGCTTTTAAAACACCCTGTAAAAAAGTGCTTGAAAATTGCTAATTTTCGTCTCTTCCATACGGTGGAAATTGCGCTGTATCTCGCAGGCCGTTTTGGGCCGGTGAAGCTTTTGCTGCGGTAACAAGGCGCTGAGACCATTCTTTTTAAAGGAACGTATCAATAATCCTTCAAAAATCTTGCGCAAACACCTGTAAAATTCTTGAAATTGCTAATTTTTCGTCTCTTCCTGAAAACACGCGATTGGAAATTGCGCTTGGTAATATACTGAAACCATTTAAATGTCGCGGTACGGCTTTTTGCTGATAACAAAGGCATGAGCCATTCTTTAAGACGGTAATCAATAATCTTTAAAAATCTTGCAACACACCATAAAAATTTATACGAAATTGCTAATTTCGTCTCTTCTCGAAATACGTGGAAATTGCGCTGTGTCT